GCATGTGGTGCTGGGGGATCGAACAGAGGTCCCCTGTGCTTTGCTAAGCTTGTTCTAAGTAGGTGCTTTAGACCACTGAGCCATCTCGCCAGCCCCATTATGGATGTTTATAATAGAGCTACAGTGATATTTTCATCTCTCCACCTTTGCAAGAGACCAGGAACTGTATGAATGCTACCTTGCTGTGACCAATCTGGGTACGTAGTGAGCGGCATGAAGACACACTCTATGTCTCCAGCACCCAGTGGGGTTTATGGCCTGTGCAGGGTTCTGACTATTTTTGTTGGTGGAAAAAACATGAATCTGCCAGTTTCTATATTCCTTCCAGCAGTATGCAGAGGTATTTGTTTACCCACATCCTTACTAGGACTAGCTTTTAGAATTGTGTTATTCTACAAGGAGAAAATGTCAAACAAAATAAAGTTTAAGTTATATGTTGATAGACTAGATTATCTTCCATGTAGAATAGGGATCCGGGATCAGTAAGCTAAGGCCCATCAGCCTAGTTTGGCCCTGTTTGATTTTGTAAATTTTTATTGGAACATTGCCATGCTCTTTAGCTCCTCCTGCTTGAGGGCAGGTTGTTCCCATGTTAGGAGAACAGAGCTCAGTCCTTGGAACTGAGTCTGTAAGGCCCACAGAGTGGAAAGGGCCTGAATCATTTTCCATGGCAGAAAACACTTAGATGGATCCAAACAAGGTCAACTGTTTGCTCGTGAGATTCTGGGTAAGAGCTGTAGCCCCACGCACAGATTTGATAGGCAGCGTACACAGAGCAGAGTTGTTGGCAGCGGGAGCGTGGGCATTCCAGCAGCTATTAGAAATGACTAGTGCCCATTATTCCACAGGCTTGCTTCTCATCTTCACTTCAAAGAGAAGCAGATGTTTCAGTTTTTTGTTTTGTTGTTTTTAGCCTGACTCCCTGCCCTCTGTTCAAGGTTCTGTTTACTAAACAGAAACAAATCCAGACCTGTAGTCTGGGATCTGAAGAGGAGGCAACCATAATGTTAGTAAGAACTGTTTACCAGACTGTTTATGTAGTTAATCCTGTTCCCTGAGGAAATGCAGCATCTAGCTGTAAACCCAGGAGACTGTGGATCAGAATGCACAAGAATGTTCACTGCAAATTACAGTAGGAAAGTCTTCAGGACTGTCAGCAGGAGGGACAGATGAGTTGTGGTTAATTTCATACACAGCATGCAGCATGTAAAAGGAATGAATGGAATTACTGGATAAATCTCACTATAGTATTAGTTAAACAAAAGATAAAGTTGCAAAGGATGTGTTTAATATGCGCATAAAATAGAGACCTGTGTGAAAATAAACCTGCATACTTGGGAAGATGGTGAAACACATGTCTGAAGTTAAGGCACCAGGACTGAGGTTACCTATGGTGGGAGATGGGATATGGGACTAAGGATTAGGGAAGGGTAACAGGCGTTTTAGTTGGCTTGGACTTCTATGATAGAATACCATGGAGTGGGTGGCTTAACAAATCTAAAATCAGTGTGCTGAAAAACTTAGTGTCTGGGGAGGGCCGGATTATGGATGGCTAGCTGTCTTGCTACAGTGAGGAAGTGCCTCTAGGGCTGCTTCATAAGAACCTGATCTCATTCCTGAGGGCTGCACCCTTATGACCTCATCACCTCCCGCAGAACCCCCTCTTGGACTGCACCTGGAGGGGCAGTGTCAACATTCAAATGCTGGGGTACACACATTTCCCACTGTAGTGTAGAGCTGCATTTGTATTTCTAGCATTTCATTCTTCAGCTGGAATATGGTTATGGAGACATTCATATTATTGTAAGTTTTGCATGTCTAAAATACGTAATCAATCATTACAGGGAGAAATGATATATGGTACGTGGCTCCTGGTGCCAAACTTAATGAAGGACAGGGACTGAACTGTCAGCACTCATTAGGCATCTGGTGTATGTAACGGAGGAGCTGGCTCCAAAAATAAAATCAACCTGGCTTTAAGGCAAGCCTAGTGAGGTCATGACTGTGGCAGTCTCAAATGAGAAGAAAGTGGAAGAAATTGTAATCTGTTCCTGCTCCATTCTTCTGCATTCTGCCCCATGCTTATATATGGTTGTGAAATCACTTTATCAGATCACTGTTAGACCTTTTAGACAGAATGAATGAGGTAGAAAATAGAGTACAGAAAGAGTATGTAAATAGCATTTCAAGAATCTAGAGTCCTATGAGAGATTTCATGTATGGTGTATGTGTTTCTCTGTGTGTGCATATGTGAGTATATATGTGTGCACCATATTAGGTATTATTGTCGCATACCGTTGTCCCCCAAAGTTAGCTGCTTGTAACAATAAGTATTAGTTATCTCACAGTTTCTATAGGTTGGGTCAGGAGTTCCAGAGCAGTTTATTGGATAGGCCCAGACTAAGGTGAGATGGTTGGCCACCTGGCAGCAAAAGCCGGGGTCTGCTGTTATGAGACAAGGCTCTGGCATGGAGGACCCAGGTAGCCATTGGTCCCCTCCTTGCCTCCCAATGTGGTTTTTCCATCTGTGGCACCCTCCAGACATAGGATAGGAAAGAAAGACGAGGGAAGGGGACCAAGGTAGGTAGTGACTTACTCTGCTGTGCTACCCTCTGCAGCTGACCAGCTGGCATTGAGATAGGGGACTTCCTTTTGTGGGAGACGGCGACTATCTTGGAGGCTGCTATCATGCTGCTGACCTTCCTGGACAGCGCCTGTGAGAAAGTCACTGGCTCAAGTTTCACAGTGCAGGAGAGAGTCAGAAAAGGCATAAGAAGGGCATCTTAGGCTAGCCATGTTCACCTGTCCTTCCGTCACATACAGTCTGAGTCCGGGGGATGCTTGCACAGAGTTGAAGGTACCATATAGGTACATGCAGATATTTAGGGTGCAAAGTCATACCTAGAGAAGGTTTTCTACCTTCTTCAAAATGACATCTGCATCTCCCTAGTTCCGTGCTGAGGGTCTAAGTACGGTAGATAAGAAGAATGAGAATGTGCCACTGTGTCGTGCCTCATTAATTACACAGTTTTTGCATAACGATCCTAATACTATCACCAAATATCACACTGGTCCCATTTCAGAGAACAGTTTCCTTCAAACACAATGACACTCTTTGGAAGCAGGTTTTCTGTAGAGCCCTAAGGAAGGGCTTGTAGGCACATTGTCTTTCCTTGACTCTTCATCATCCTGTGACATAAAGCACAGCCCTCAGATGTCAGCCTTTACCTGTGGGCTTAAAGGCTTTGTTCTGTTTTTTTGTTTTGGCGGATCCATGGATTGAACTCAGGCCCCTGCGCTTGCCAGGCAAGCGCTTATTCCCCTGAGCCATCTCCCTGGCCCCTTGTTTTTGGTTCTCTGAAGTCCCATCGTTTTACTAGCACAAGGATTGGTGCTGATGGTTCTGAGTCAGTATTCTGTATTACACAGTGTGCTTTTTGGAATGCCCTTCCAAATTTTCCTTTTTTTTTTTTTTTTAATTTTAGGAAAGTTATATTGAGGGGCCAGGGAGATGGCTCAGTAGAATAAGTGCACAAGGACCTGAGTTCAATCCCCAGTTCCGCCAAAAAAAAAAAAAAAAGAAAGAAAGAAAGTTATTTTGAATTACGGATTTTAGTGTGTGCTTTCTTTCCATGCCTTGGTTTAGTTCTTCAGGCCCTCTGTTTGGTTTTGCTCTCCAGTGTATTTTAACTCATTTCTTTTTGACTTTAAATGCTTTCCTCAGCTCTTTTTATTAAGACCTCATCTGTTCTGTATATTTTTACTTTTAGGCTCCTTCTAAGAGTCTTCATTTTTGTTTTGAGTGTTTTTCTTTTACTTCTGTACCCTTTCTGACTTCTGTTGCCCTGTTTGGGGGCTCTCCAAACTTTGCGTCATTTTGGTCTTTGCTGTCTGCATCGTCTTCTCACTGTCCTTACTGACTGTGCTCCATTCTGTGAGCGTGTCTTTCTGGCAAGCTGTCATTGTCTGTAAGTAAGGTGGGCGCTCTGCTCTGGATGAACTTCCTATGGGATCTGAGGTCTGCATTCTTCTGTCTGTTTTATGTGAATCTAAGTTTCCTTGAACTTTGGAGGGGTGGCTTGGTTCCCAGAGTTTTCTCTTCTGTGAAGCATTTCAAAGTATTACAACTTGCTTTTGAGATTTTTGGCTGTTTGCCTATCCCATCTATATCTGGTCCTTCTCTTTTTTATTAGGTTTACTGGTATCATTTAGATCTATGTATAGATTATATTCATCATAGGGCATTTGTATTGCGCATGGGATATCTTGATCAGTCCTTCTCTTTCCTGGATGCTATTTTTTCTCATCTTGAATCTGCTGTAGCTTCTCTGCATTGTGAGTCCCCCCAGCTCCTTGACAGAGAATTCCAGCTATTCAGCTCCTAGGTTCAGGTACTGTGTTGCAGTTGGCCTGCGGTGCCTTGTGGGGTACACCTCACTCGCAGGGTCTGTCTGTTCCCAGGGCTCCTGGATGCTCTGTTGTTTCCATTTGTACCCGTGATCATTGGTGGTGTGGCCTCACCTGCTCATTTTCAGGGTTCATGTCAGTGTCACCTTCTTCCTTGCCTTTTTAAGTGTGCGTGCATGTGTGCGTGTGTATGTGTGTGTGTTACTGGGGTGTGTGTGTGTTACTAGGGTTTGAACCCAGGACCATTTACACTGTGCTACATCCCCAGCTATTTATTGAGAGACAGGCTTGGCTGTGAATATGCTGTTAAGGCTGGGCTTGAACTTGTGCTTCTACTTCCTCAGGCTCCTAGGGTACAGGGATTACTGGTGTGTGCAGGCTTTGGGTTTTATTATTTATCTAACCTGCCTATAACTATTTTAAAACCAGGTCACTACCTTTTTAGAACCTCCCATTCTCAGACTACTGTACTCAGGCCTTTGCCCCTAAACCCGCTGCCTTCTAAACTGCTTGTGTAAAAGTCAGCAACAACACTCCCTGTTCGCCCCTCATTTTTTCTTGAAGTACTTTCTGCATCGTGTCCAGGAAGCCACAGTTTCTGGGGTTTCGGCCCCAACAGCTGGTGTGTACCACTGTTGGTACAGTTAGCCCCTTTGAGTGGGTAGGATATGGGGTTTTAGAGAGAATTTCTAATTTGTCCAGACTACCCAGCTAACTAGTAGCATAACTAGTGGCATAACTGCTAGAGTAAATAGTAGCATGGTTAAATACTTCTTAAGGATCCCCTCTATGCCTGCTGCTGTGCCCTGGAGGAGCCTGCAGTGTAACTGGCAAGAAAGGTTGACTGTGTGGGTGAGGCCTAGAGGCTCAGGCAGAGACCCAAGGGACTAGCAGGGAATGTAAGTGCCAGGAGGCTCTGCTCCTGCCTTGGAGGACAGGTGGGATGGACAAGGTGATGGGAAAGGATGGCAAGGAGCATGTGCTGAGATTGGGCTGTGCCCCAGCGGGCCACAAATGTGACAACGCCCCGGGCTTAATGCCAGCGGTCCTTCATCTCTGTCTCTGCCCTGAACCATGTTTCCAACTCAGTGCAGTAATACTGAGCCTCAAGTTTCTCCTTCCAGGCCCGGCTAACCTGTTTTTCAGCACATCAACCAGGCCCACCCATCCCCAGGATTTCAGGGCCTCCTATTCTCCCTGGTTTTTCACCAGGCAGCTACTGTACCCCAGCTGTCTGTGCACTAGGAACACTGCAGATGTGTCTTCTAAGTGTCACCCAAGTCCCTGCTGGAAGAGGAAGAGCGGCTTTTCTGATTCATAGCTCACCCCCTGTACTCCCAGCCTTCCTTCTCTCTGCTTTATTATCTCTCACTCTCTTTGTCCCCTCCTTAAGAAAAGTCACCCAACTTCCTGCCCTTCCTCCCATGAGTATCAGCCTGAAGGCTTTGTTCCAGAGCCTCTTGGTTTGGTCAGCACATTCCCAACCAGACAAAAGCCCAGGAGACAGTGTCCATGACCTCACTGTCCACCCATCCAGTGGGCCCTTGCTGGACAATCCCTGGGCCTGGGGGGCCTCAGCAGGGGCCTTCACTGCCTGTTGACCAGCTGAGCAACATCCCAGGAACCCCTCTGAGGTCCTAGCTTTGTGTAAACACACTTGAAATTTAGTTTCCTGAGTCAGAATTGAGGTTTCCTTTCCTTTGCATAAACTCAAGATATAGCACTTAAGAACCTCACTGTCAGCTCCAGATCGCAGGGGTGGGGCTGGGGGGCTGCATTCCTTGGGTAGAGTTGGCACATCTGTGTATTAAACATGATTGCCAGGAATGTGGCACACAAATGTAATTCCAGCTACTCAAGGGGCTAAGGCAGGAGAATTGCAAGTTTGATCTTAGCCTGGGCAATTTAGCATTACTCTTTTTCAAAATAAATAAAAAGGGCTGGGAATGTAGCTCAGTGGTAGGTTACCTGCGGAGTTTGTCGACAGGGTGAGAGTGAGAGACACAAAAAAATTGCTTTTGTACCACAACCATGGAGTTGGGTAGTTGTGACATAGTGTATGGCCACGGAAGTATTTACTCTGCAAAGTTGGCAGAGCCCTGCCCTAGAGTTCCTAAGCTTGGTCTTGTAGTCTCAAAACAGGAATGCTGTGTTTGTGTGTCTGTGTGTGTGTGTGTGTGTGTGTGTGTGTGGTGAGGGAGAGGGAGAGCGAGAGAGAGCGCTCAGCGATCTAAAGTGTCTGCTTAGGGCCAGGGAGATAGCTCAGTTGAATAAGTGTTTGCCTGGCAAATGCAAGGTCCTGAGTTTGATCCCTGGTACCAAAAAATAAAATAAAATAAAAAGTAAAGCGTCTGCTTAGCCTTGGTTTGATCCCTGGCACCACGTGCCGCGCCAACCCCACCCCCAGGGTGGACTGAGCTGGCCACAAAACAAACAAACAAAAAAACCCACCAAAAAATAGTACTACAGGGCAAGAGGTCTGACTTTGTGGCAAAGCACTTTCCTAGCATGCACAAGGCCCTGGGTTTGATTCTCAGCACCACAGGGGTGACAAAAAAGAAACATGCTGGCAGGCTTCCTGTGACCCTGGCCCCTCTGTACTGACATGAAGTGTGGTAATGCCTGCTCCCTCCCACAGGCTGTGTACCCTGTGGGGAAGAGTTACTCGCTGCTCTTGTATTCTGTTAATGAACAGCTCTTTAGAGTCTGGAGTGCTAGTGATTAGACCACCCAAGGCACCCACAGGAGCAGTAGGCCTAGGTTGATTTTGGAAGGACTGGCAAGGGAGAGCTAAGAAGAGGGACACAAACAGCATGTGCAGTGGCCTGCAGGGGCAGGCAATAGGACATAATTATAGCTCTTTGCAGTCAGTGGCAGGGAAATGGACTTCCACCAATGTCTGCACTTCCCTCTGTGTGGCCCCACTGCAGAGGCGAGCGACCGGCCCTGGCCCTCATGGGACCTTGGCTCTAGTGAGTGTAGAACCAGCTGCAAATCTGGTTGTTGGGGAGCCATTTATTCCAGGCCGTGGACTCTTATGCAGGAGCACTTGTAGTTCTTGCTTTGGGACTTGGGTTGCATGGCTGAAGCCCAGTTTCATGTGAAATAATTAAAGGATAACACAGGAGTTGGTGAACAACACTCTAGTGTTTGCTCTCCAGACTGTCTTGGTTTCGACTCAGTGTCAGTCAGCAAGGAGCTTAGGGAGTGAAAAAGGTAAACATAAGGAAAATTTAAAGATCCTTGTAAGCCAGGTGTGGTGCACACCTATAGTCCTGACTCTGGGAGACTGAAGTAGGATTATAAATTAGAGCCTAGTCAGTTTAACAGCTTAGTAAGACCCTATCTTAAAAAAAAGGTTTGCAGATGTATCTTAGTGCAGTAGTCCTGAGTTCAGTCCCTTGTACTGCATCAAAATATAGAATCAAACCCAAAAAACAGGGAGCATCTGCTTCATGAGTACTACGTTTCCTTTTGGGGTGATGGAAGTGTGTCAGAACTAGATGGTACAGCGCTGTGGATGTACCGTGCTACTGAAATTTTCACTTTAGAATGGTTCCTTTTATGTTGTTTTGCCTTGATTTTTAAAAATTATTTATTTATTTTATTTATTTTTTTTTAAATTTATTTATTTATTTATGTGTGTGTGTGTGTGTGTGTGTGGCCAGCTCAGCCCACCAGGGGGCGGGGCTGGCTGGCATGTGGTGCTGGGGGATTGAACCGTGGTCCCTGTGCTTTGCTGAACTTGTTCTAAGTAGGTGCTTTAGACCACTGAGCCATCTCACCAGCCCCTTAAAAATTATTTATAAACTTAGAGTAAAGATAATATAATCTTGACAGGTAAGTCTATTAAATCGTACTGATGTTTTAAATTTTTAAAAGTTACTAATAGTAAATGCAGTGACAGATGGGTACCCTCGTGGTCCGAGTCATGCCCGCTTGGTGTACAAGGACATCTAACCCAGATGATGGCTCTCTGCCCTTGTCTCTGACAGAGGTGGAGAAGACCCGGTGCCAGCAGGAGCGTGAACACATTCTCGGTGCAGTGGGAGCTGCAGATGCACAGCGGCCCAGGCCGCTAGGACTCTTTGTCCCTGAGTGTGACGAGCATGGGCACTATGTGCCCACCCAGTGCCATGGGAGCACTGGCTACTGCTGGTGTGTGGACCGTGATGGCCGCGAGCTGGAGGGCACCAGGACCAGGCCTGGGCTGCAGCCCCCATGTGAGTAGAAAGCAGGCGAGACAGCCAGGGGCCCAGAGCAGTGGGTCCCTGTCCCCTCCACACCCTGTACACTCATGCACAAACAGGCTATGTGTAGATGCCCAGTGGAGCCTGTAGTACTGATGTGAGATGGCGGAGAGGATGTGTGTGGGAGGTGTAGCCCTGGGTTGCGGGCACTGGGCAAAAACTGGGGGGCTGCTGGTGCCTCTCCAGAGCTGTGCTCATTCGGGCATCCATTTACATCTTTTAGCACCTGCCTGCTTCCCGGCTTTGCCTCAAGACTTTAGGTGCCTGGGCAGGTTGTGTCCTCGAGCAAATAGCCCCAACATTTCTATAGCCAATTTAAGGCCGCCCTGGTATAGAATGGCTCCATGCTGGGTCCCACCTGAGGCCCACAAGGCTGTGTGACTCCACGCAGATTTCCTTTGTTGCCTCACCTTCCTTGGTCTCTATTGGAGAAATGGGCCAAATAATCCTGAGGACATTGCCCCCTTCTAAAATTCTGCTTCTGTCACAAATGTAGAAGTTGGTCACTGTCACAGACTAACCTGATAGAACTAACTTTTGAGTCTCCCTTCTCAGTTTAGCTAATAACTAGATGTAGAGCTTCTCCCAGGTACTTCCCCAAAGCTGTGAAGGAGCAGTACAGGTGACTCCCAAGTAGCACTGACTCATCCATACTTTTGGTAGGGGTGTTGGGGACACCAGGGGAATGCCATGGACTGGGCCCCCCAGCAACCCAGAGTGATGGGAGCAGAGAGGAAAAGTGTAGGGAAAGGAGCTCCCAGAGACAGTGGATGGCAATCAGAAGCCACGAAGAACCCAGCTTGCAAGAGTGGTGGCTGACAGAGAAGTCTTTGGAAAACAGTGCAGGAACCTTGAGGTTGTGCAGGGTCCTGATGGTAGCGGGCATTGACTAAGAGGAAGGCACCTCAGGGGTTCTGCATCCAGGGTGAGGGCATCAAGTGCCAGGCTAAGGGGCCTGGTGTTGGTCAGGGAGCTTTGACTAGCACTAGAAGACCATAAGGGGATTGATGGGTACCAATGTGAAGCCAGTTTTGGGTTTAGATGCATCCAGCTGCTTGATGGAAGCCACAGTGGGTGCGGGTGGGGCCACCAGCTTGGCAAGGGGAGTAGGGCAGGGGGAGTCCACACAATAAAGAGGACAACCAGACTGGTATGTCTGTGACTGGGTGTATTAGACGAGACCAGAGAACCAACCTTGGGATGACGTCATCCTGCTGTCTATTTAGAGAGCACAGTGCAAAGCTCAGGAATATGTGTGTCTTCCATGCAGAGTGTATGAGCTCGTGTCCTGCAGCACAGATTGTCCATCCCCTCCTGGAACTCCTCCCAGCAGCTGGCTGGGTCAGAGTGCAGGGTTTAGGGGCCCTGACCAGCCTGTTAATTCTGGGAGCCAAGAGGGACACGTTTCTGGTCCAGCTCTGAGGCTTCCCCACCCCTCGACCCAGAACAGGGTGTTCAGGATGCCCTTCAGTGATGCAATGAACTCCTCCAGCATTGATAAGCTCAGTGGCTCCCCTAGGACATGATTCTCCATGGGCAGGGCTTGCAGTGCTGCCATTGAAAGAGCATGAATGGCAAAAGTTGCCCCCAGGAGATAGACGCTAAAGCCATGCCTTTCACTGGACATTTACTGCTAAACTCACGTCTGCCTTACCTTCTTCACAAATGTCCATTGTGGGCTTTTAATTAGAAAATGTGTGGCTTTTCAGTTCATGGTGCTCTAAAGGTGCCATGACCCAAAATGTCAGTGCATGTGCGGTTGTGTACATGTGCCTATGTAGTTTTGTGTGTATGCAGATGTGTGTGTGTGTGTGTGTGTGTTTGCATTTGTGAGACCATGCGTGTGTGCATCTGTGTTTCTGGTGTGCACAGCCCTCGATCACTGGCCTCTGCTACCCCCTAGGTCTGGGTACAGTGGCCCCCGCGATTCACCAGCGACCTGTGTTGCCTACCTCTGTGATCCCTCTGCCTCCTGGGACCCACTTACTCTTTGCTCAGACTGGGAAGATTGAGCGCCTCCCCCTGGAGGGAAATACCATGAAGAAGGCAGAAGCCAAGGCATTTCTTCATGTCCCAGTAAGTGAGTGCTGTGCTGCCTGCTGGCCCTGGTGACAGGTCCTGCTCCTTTTACCTGGAGGGTAAAGTCATGCCACCACCTTGTATTGACCCCTGGAAACCGGGCGCTGCTTCCCATGCAGCCCTGAGAGCCTACCTCCCGATCAGTCCACCCTGTTCCCAGCCTCCCCCTGAGGCTCCCTTTGCATTGGAACACTTATAAAAGTTTACTGAAAAATACACGAGCCATCATTTTGTTCTCGGTTGCCCCACCGAGAGCATAAATCCCTCAGGGATCGTCACTGGTCTCCATGATATCCTGCAGCACACCTGCTCAGGGAGTGGAGTGGGTTAAACTCCCTGTGAAAACCATTCTTCCCCAGGAGGAAGGAGAGATGATGTATTAAGTTCATACATCACGCAGCACAACTGTCACCACCATCCACATACACAACTTTGTTCATCTTCCCAAAGCAAAACTCTGCACCCATTAAGTACTAGGTCTACTTCCCCTGCCCTGTCCCAGCCTATGCAATCATGACTGTACTTTTTGTCACTCAGCATTTGATTCTTCCAAGGTACCTCATATAATTAGAACCCTACCATATTTGTCTTGGTGTGTCAAGCTCTTTTTGCCTAGCTTAATGTCCTAAAGGTTTAGCCACGTTGCATTCTGTGTCAGGATTTCCTTCCTTCTGAAGGCTAAATAACATTTCCTTGTGTGCACATTACCAGATCTTGTTTCCTCTGTCAGCAGACAGTTGGGTGCTCCCGCCTTCTGGCTGTTAGGAGTCGTGCTGCTGTGAGCACAAGTATAAAAACATCTGTCCAAATCCCTGCTTTCACTTCTTTTACAGATACACCTAGCAGCAGGATTGATGGCTCAGGTGGGACTTTGTGTGTTTGATTCTCTGAGTAACTGCTGCAGTGTTTTCCACAGTTGCTGTGTCACTTCTCTCATCTCATTCTTGGCAACAGAACACAAGTGTTCAAGTTTCTGTCTTCCACGACCTTTTCTTTCTTTCTTTCTCTCATTCATGTATTTAATACAGGGTCTCTCTACATAGATCAGACTCGTAGTGATCCTCCTGTTTTCAGCCTCCCAAGTGCTGGGATTACAGGTGTGCCACCACACCCCGTCTCAATTGCCATCTCAGTGCTCCAGGGGGTGGGGCTGGGACACCATACTGGGGATTAAACGCAGGCCCTTGAGCCCTTTAGTCCACTGAGCTATCTGGTTGGCCCTTTATTTTCTTTCTTGACCCCCCCCCAAAAAAAAGTAGCCATTCTAATAGGTGTGGAACCTCACTATTGTTTTGATTTATAGCTCTATAAAGATTAGTGATATCGAGTTTCTTGTGTTCTTAGTGACTATTTATATATCTTCTATTCAAGATCTGCTCAAGTTTTTGATCTTTAAAAAAAATCAGTTTTTTGTTATGGAGTTAAAGAGTTCTATATGTTCAAGATATTAGCCTCTTAAGATTAATGATTTGCAGATATTTTCTCCCATTTGATGAGCTGCCTTTTTTCTGATGACTGTGTCCTAGGATGTATAGAAAAGTAAATTTTTTATGTAGTCTGTTTCACCTTTTTCTTTTGTTGCCTGTTGTGATTTTGTCAGTGTATCCAAAAAAGCATTCCTTTGGGGCTGGGAAGATAGCTCAGTAGAATAACTTCTTGCCTGACAAGCGCAAGGGCCTGAGTTCAATCTCCAATTCCACCAAAAAAAAAAAAAAAAAAAGCACTCCCAAATGCAATGTTATTAGGGCTTTGCCCTAGGTGGTTTTTTTTTGGGGGGGGGAGGTGGCAGAACCAGGGATTGAACTCAGGCTCTTGTGCTTGCCAGGGAAGCGCTTATTCCACTGAGCCATCTCCCTGACCCCTGTTTTATATTTTTAACATTGACATTTATGTCTTTGATCCATTTGGAGTTTACTTTTGCATGTACTGTGGGATCGGGGTCACTACCCATTTGATCTGACCTCTTTTGTTTTGTTTTTATGTATTGGTACAGGGTCTTACTACGCAGCTCAGACTCATAGTGATCCTCCTGTCTCAGCCTCCCCAGCTCTGGGATTACAGGCATGCACCGCCACACCCCATCTCGATGTCCTGCTCAGTGTGCCCAGGGGTGGGGCCAGTGTGGCAGTGTGGCTGCTGGGGATCAAACCCTGGGCCCTGCACTTGCCTAAGCAAGTGCTGAGTTTGCTGAGCTATCTCTCAGGTCCTGACCTGACCTCTTCAGGGGAGCTACTTGCTGATAACCTTACTATTCCCAGGAAAAGACTTTTCTGGTCCCCTTCACCCATAGTTCCCCAGATATTTCCTCCTAAGCCTTTCCTGGGCCTCATAATCCCTGGTTCTGTGTCCACACCCAAGGGCTCACTTCTGAGTTTCTTATAATTGAACAACTTGTTTTTCCTGGGCTGTGGACAGAACCTGACCTCATAACGGGCTAAGATCCCCAGCAGCCAGATCTTACCCAAATGTCTCATGGGCATAGAGATACCTTCTGCCTGTTTAACCAAGGGGGAAACCCTGTGGTTTTTAAATATATATTTCAATTTAAGAGAGATCTGAACTAAGATTTACCAAAATAATCTGTAAGCAAAGTTTCATTTTCAGGCAATCTTCTTCTATTGCCTCAGACAATTGAAGTTACCTGGTATTCATACTAGAATGGAGTGTCACCTAAGGGTTGCCATATAAGATACAAGTATTAAAAACAAAATTAATGTCACTGTAAAAGACACATTGCCACTGATTCCCTTTGAAATACTGTATGTCACTTCAAAGCCACCCATCCCCTTGCTTTTGACATCTTCTGAAGTAGTTCTAGAAGTTCTTTTTGTCAGTTGTGCTGTCCTGGCTGCCTTCATGTTCTGGGTGGATTAAAAATGCTTACCTTTCACAGTGCTGGTTTTTGAGACAGGGTCTTGCTATGTAGTTCAGGCTAGCCTTAAACTCACTATGTAGTTCGGGCTGGTTTCAAATTCATGTCATCTTCTTGCCTCAGTGTTCTGACAGCTGGGATTAAAGGCATGTGCCACCATATGCAGCCTTCACGGTCATTTTCACTTTAGGAAAGAGACAAAGAAGGCTGGTGAATAAGGTGGATAAGGACATACTGTAGTTTGTTGGTAGAAATTTTTTTTTTTTAAATTTAACTTGTCATAATTTGTTATGAATATACAAAGACAACAAACTTTTAAAACATTGTATTTACTAAGATTCTGGCAACAGTTTTATATAACAAGATACAGCATACCAGGCCTGCCACTCAACGTGTTTTTAAGTCTCAGCTTCAATATGAAGCTGTTTAAAACAAAAACTCAAAACCTGCTTTTTACATGCTAAATATCTTGGCAAGGGTGCCACTAAACATAGTAATGAACTTGAGACAGTACAAATAAAGAGTTAACAAAAGCTAAACATTGCAGCCTGCACAACATTCATACAAAAAAATAAAGTATCATTGGTTACATAAAATTTTCCTGACTGGTTAAAACTTAACAGTATAAAACATGCATTTT